AATCTGATTAAAATCTGATGTAGTGTACGGGCTTTAATTATTTTGGCTATAAACTTATTTTAATTTAATTTTTTATTATATTTGTTATTAATGCCCTTTTATTTTATTATTTTACTTTGATTTTGATTTTGTGTTAATTCCGCCCTACCTACATCTGACCCGATGCCTATGTAACGAGATTTCAACGAGACCCACTATCGACGATTTTAGTCAACGAATCACAGACCTCCTTCTATAGCGCACATGATGACGTCACCGGGCATAGTCAGGTGGCAAACACACTCAAATAAAATGGCAGATTATACCGACGTTAGCGACCGTGAATAACACGGTAAGTTTACCATTGTCAAATGCAACGAAAGTCATTTTTATGTTAATATTGTGGCTAGAATGGTTCGACTTTAGATCGTTATTTCGCATAGTTATTCTGGGAGTGACGATTTTGTTTCCACCGGTTCGACCGAACACCAGTGTCTTTTTCCAGTCGCCTGCCCTAGGCCCTGGAGACGGGTGATGTTTGTTGACGATCGGGCCAAAATCGTCTACGGTATTGAAGCTGTAAATATTCATCAAATTGTATCAACATTTTGTACATTATACAATAACTCTTTATTAAAGTAATTGAGCTGATTTAGACTGGAATAAAATATTTTTTATTTGGAACACATCGCAATTGATCAGGAAATATTTGTTTGCTCCAATTTTCTGCGTCGATGCCGTGGGCCGGTTATACAATTTAAAATCAGTTTGCATTGTTTACTATAGCTGTTTACAGTGTTCTAATCATTACGATTTACTTATTTTTTTGCTTCCATTCTAGATAATTATGCTCAGTGATGTAAAATTGAAGCGATGACTGAATGAACGAACCTTGGCTGGCGAAGATGTATCTGGAAGTGTACACATTTGTTGGAAGTGAAAAAAATATTCAATGTAATGACAAAAATTGTAAAATGCTGTGGAATTTCTTTTGCAAATAAAAATATACTAGCAATTTTTTATTAATGGTTTATTCAAGTGGGCAAAACATAATGTACAGAAAGATTGCCCGTATACACTGAAAAGTAAGCAATCGACAGCCTGTGTAAAAGGGGGGCTGTGATTGGCTGTTACTTACGCGAGATTTGAACGGGACTTACATAGGCGTCGGATCAGATGTAGGTAGGGCGGAATTAAAAAAAATCAAAGTAAAATAATGAAATAAAAGGGCATTAATAACAAAAGTAATAAAAAATAAAATTAAAATAAGTTTATAGCCAAAATAATTAAAGCCCGTACACTACATCAGATTTTAATCAGATTGGGTTTTTATAGACAACGTCCTGCCTTTGCGTTCAATCCTGTTCTGTAACCATGTATTGCATGAACCGGTGAACGGCATCATCAGCTACACGGGCATTGTCACAGCCGGTCACATGATTCACCAGACTTTTAGAATTCTCTCGTAAAACATTACTATACAATACCCATTTGTTCATATAGCACGTTGTTTTACGTTTGTTGTTTTCTTGATATAGATTAATATTAATGGATTCGATTGAAATATGGTGGGATGCTTTTCGAAACACAATTCTTGACCTTGTGCTGTGTCTTCAGTTGTAAGTTGTAATGGACAATTACCCATGAAAAAATTGCACGCGCACCCACTTACTTAACAAAAACACTTCGCCACTAGAGGGCACAGTCAGGTGTACAGATGTTTTATTTCAAATTTAACACTCTAGAGAAGATGACTGACATTTCTGGTTAGTTATTATATTGGTTTTCTGCTTAAATTAGTTTATTGAACATGATTGTTATTGCACGATATATCCTAATACGAACAGAAAGTTTTGAAACCGAGAAAAAATACAATTATTTACAACAAGTTGGAAACTGTCAATCTTGCGTGAATCTGGAAATCGATAACATGTAACCACAGTCCCTCTATCATAGAGGGATAGAGGGACTGTGATGTAACCAAACACATGTAGTCACATACACGAGAAACCCTGTTATATACACGAATTAGTTCTGTTATAACTTAATTAATTAAATATGCTTAACTTGGAATATATTGTATTATTTTTCAGTATGGTATGTACATTACTATGCGCGGTAGACGTCGCGCTGCACATGTGCGAGATATATGGGTCTCATATAAACAAAGATGGCGACTTTGACTGTTGCGCAGATCAACGAGTACGAACTGACACGTTTCCAAGCTGTAATTAGGTAATTTTCATGTGATTGGAAGGTATCGAAGGAGTCATCGGCGGTAATCAGTGCAAGTCGCGCCCAGGTCAAACCTCATACTTACGATTTCTATTTGAAGAGCGCATTGGATTGTGGGAAAATCAATGTTTATCAACACAAATGTCGAACATGCACAGCACAACGACTACCGCGCTTTAACCAAACACAAATATGTAAAACAATACCAAGTTATGGATATTTTCTTTTTAATATATACATGTATTACACTGTCCATTTAAAGACTAATTGGTTGTTCCACAGTCGTCAATAAAAGCCGCATTCATAACGCAACCATCATCGGTGTTGACTTGTTCATTTGCATTAATCTCTTTGGTTTGTGGATCTTTCACTTTATCTTTCTCTGCCTCCATTGCTTTGCTTTGCTCAATTGAAATATCTTGACCTGAGCAGATAAAATGTAAAGATAGTCAACTGTATGGTGAATATGAAAATATACCGATTACCCGGCATTTTGACTGTGTTAGTGGTTTGCTCTGAATCTTTTACGGTAGAATCCTGTACATATTATTTGGTCATAAACCACACGGAAATGTTCTACGGTTTATTGTGTATAATCATAGAATTGTTGTAATTTTGTGGTATTACATCAAACAACATTAGTTTGTGCGCTAGAAAATGCTATTTTGAAAACAAAGTAGCAATTGTTTTTCATGCACGTGTGTACATTTATGAAGAACGTATTAAATATGTATTCTCGACTACCACCGGGAACAAATGAAGATAATAAGTGTCAGCCGTATCTGGTTCTCTCCGTACATGTGTGAATGTCAATATCACACTGGTACAACATTATAGGAGTATGAAAACGTAATAAAATGCATACCTATTTCAGCTGTCCCAAGCGGTGGATGATGAATTTCTACCAAAAATATATACGTTAATGCACCCAGTGTTGCTCCTATCAATGGCATTACAATAGGAATCCACCAAAAGTGCCAACCATATGGACTAAGAAAATAGAATAAATAGTACATACAAAATGAGTGGGAGGGTTGGTTGGTCGGTAGGTATGTAGGTATGTAGGTAGGTAGGTAGGTAGGTAGGTAGGTAGGTAGGTATGTAGGTGTGATGTTAATGTATGAAATGTATGAGTTAGCATAAGTATTCGTGTCAAATATTTAAATTTATTCAAACGCATACTCTAGACGAATCAAAGCATCTTCGTTAATTCAACTTGAATGAGTATTGTCTACTATTATATTGAACGAGTGTAATTCTCTGCATAACACCAAACATACTCACGTCCACACCTCGTTACCGTACCCCACCATATAAGTAAACAGCCTTGGTGCGAAATCCCTCGTTGGATTAATAGCGCCACCAGCGTTGTAACACAAACAATTGCCCAGAGTGAATATAAGGAGCCCGACAATAAATGGTTCCATTCCAGGCGGTGGGCGAATATTTCTCTCGTCAATAACCGCAGTCACACACAATATAACAATATAAGTTGCAAACAGCTAGCGGAACAACAAAATTTTCAATTTCAACAATATTCGAAGAATTGAAACTCAGAATTGTTGTTTACTACCTTATACTAAAATATGAAAATATGTTTGGATATTTAAAGTAGAAACTAATTCTCACTTCCGTCTCGGTTAGACTTAAACTGTACCACGTTTGAGATATAATTTTTGGTATGTGTTGGTTCTTGGATAATTCAGCTCCGTCGTCATGTAGTTCGTTTAGTAATTTCGCGATTTTGACACGGAAAATGCCTGGACTAAATCATTTGCTGAGAGACGGCCGCTTAGGTATGTGCAATCTAATCAAACAAAATAATGAATTAAGCGCTACATTCACAGAGCGCGTGTTCGAATTTTGTATTTTACACGCGTCAATGTTACGTCGGCTTAAGGTGCCACATCGAACAAGGCGCGATGCGACGACCGTAACGCTTTATTCTAGTGAGTTTTCAGTATGACAATAATTTAATATTATTTTACAATGTGAATCCCCCGCATAATGTATTGTATATGCGTACAGTAACATATTCAGTAACAAGGCCGTATAGGTAGCAAAAATTAGTTGGTCCGGCCAAATGTTCAGTTAAAGGGCGGTAGTCGTCGCGCCGCGTCCTGTTCGATATGGGACTCATAGCGACGTATACAACGCGTGTAAAATACATTGTTTATTTACATGAAATTCGAACACGCGCTGTGCGACGACCACCGCGCTTTAACCTATCAATTCTCACCTGGTCCCATATAGCATTTCCCACCGACAGATACTCTTGTGGATATGTAGCCCAAATACTAGCTGTGGCATTCGGACCAATTACAACTCGAACTCCCCCATCAAAATCATTCAGTGCATCTGGTAAATAAAGTAATTGTTACAGAACAAAATGTATTTCGAATCAACGTGGAATCGCTGATAACAAATGAAATCAACTCTTCTTCTGGTGATCCATTATATAAAAGTATGGAGTCATAGCACATTTGTTCAATCGCACAGTTCAAACTCAAATATTGGTAGCTGACAGCCAATAAAATTTACAGTATTACAGCGTCACTGTAATTAACTAATATGATTAATAATATTGTGTAATGCTTACCGTAATACACCCCATAGACTACTATAGATGCTACAAAGGACGCTAGGAATTGAACCAGGATATAGACTGGAACAGAACGCCATGGAAATCTGCCAACTATCGCAAATGCCACAGAAACAGCGGGGTTGAAATGTGCACCTGTAACAGAAACTTATTTTAACAGTCAGATATTCTGTGCATGTCAGATTCGTTGACATGGCAGCTCGTAATATGTGTTTGGCAGAGGTACATTACGTGGGGTTTGCAACGCTCATAGTTCTGTATGGTGACATCATGTCAAGATCCCATTCAAGTCTCATCTCGTAGATAGCGAGATTGATGCTACGACTTGACATATACCAATGTTCAAGGTTTGTAACAAAACAATAAAACATGTCTTCCCACTATCATAGTGAAAAATGTAATACATCGAAAATGTACAGAAAATATAGTTCTCGTAATCCGTCATATCGTGAGCAGCTATTTTGATCCACCTGAACCTCCCAGTATCCTAGTTACCTTGGGCATGCGTATTCGCATTGTTTTGAGTTGGGAACGCTTATGCGAGAGCGAGATTGGAAAGGGATCTTGATATCATGTCACGCGACTTGCAGGCTCATACCACTAATTGAATCTCCATAGACGACAATGTTAACATATGACGAGATTGCTATATGAAAATGATGAAAATTGAAAACATGGCTCAAAAATGGGAAATCAACATGCCAGTTATCAACCATATGAAAAAAACTAACATATTGGCCAGCTCAAACTCTTACAAATCTCAGGTAAACAAGACACACCTACTGTATTTGGATTGCACCTAGAGAAATCACTGGAAAAAACACCAAGATTAGAACATCCAAATACACGCAGAATAAACCCACAGGTACACAGCCGCTAAGTAGTAAACAAAAGACCACGTGTTGGTCTCACCTTTGACCCAGATGGTTACGCCCTCAAACAGGGAGCACCTGAGAAAAAAAAAATATTTAAAAAATTTCATTGGTTCTTGCAAGGCATTTAAATTGAATTGAGGGCTACGAGCCATTGGTTGATTAGTGGCATGAGACCTGCAAACCCCATGTAATGTACTGGTGTTGACTATCAGTCCTATATACGCCCACTTACAGTTATCCTAAAAAGAATATAATGCTTGAAACAAATTCCTCGATTAACCTTTGTAGTATACGCATAGTGCCAACCGGGTTATGTCGATTTGCTCGTCACAACAGTGAGATTGATTCTGTCCAGATCACCCATGTGATCGGCGTACAGTGATAACGCACATGATCAATTACACCAGTACGTCCATGATTACACCAACTGTTTTCAGTAAATCACTAAAGTACTTTTAACATGTCAGAAGTTCAGATTGACCATTTGTGTTACATACTCACCCGACGGTCCAAATGCAACGTACATGCCCATACACAAACCAATTCCCCAACCCCAGTTAGCAGTGAGCACATTCCCATTCTCCCCGTCACTGAGGATATACTGAGCTGTTCCACTGCAACCAAATGACTGGAATAACAATGTACATTAGTGTAAGTAAAATAAATGATACCAAATTATTGAAACCTTCATTATAGATAACACCAGGGATGTATAAAATAAGTCACGGCAATTACGAGATGATCGCAGTGACCACAAAATTGTCAGAAAAACATTTCTAGAAATATGAATGCGAATGAGTGGTGGATTTTTGAAAGAATTGTTTTTTCGTTAGACTTGCTTATTTGCAGTGTGCATTACGTGTTTTAATACGTATTTCTCTCTTTTTTGTTTACGCAATCAAAACTTTCCATGCGATCTCCGATTTTTGTATGTACTGTTTTAGTCAGTCAGTCATGCTTGTTATCATACGTTAACATACACTTTTTGTAATGTCTTGTTGTGTTGTTTTTTCTAAGGAACTTGCACATTCCCAAATAGTCACCGTGGGAGCAGCGTTCACTAAACGCTATTTCGAACTGTACTGTTTGGTGAAATAAGCGTGGCGTTGGAGGGGCGCGTCTACCTACCGTGGCAGTGAAATACTCCACTGTAAAAAAATCAAATTACGAGTAAATGATAATAGGTTGTTTGTTTCAAGCATGTATAAGTTTATCTAGTTTGGTTACCCTAATCTCTCCTTCTAATCGTTTCTGTCAATGCCAACACTGTCTATTTAATGAGCATATAATTGTTACACGACGCGACAGTTGCCGACCTTTGACAAACGATATATAAGTTGTGCCTAATATGATGCATGTTCTCACATGTTTGCTATTGCTATGGTAACATATGCTACAATGGTAGCCACAGTCTTAACACATGATATCACCGGCACCACAACACAGACACCTACTGCGATCTCAAGTTTAGCAAAATATGTATCTAATACAGAAACAAACCTCGGCTGCACATTTAACATATATTCAGCACAGACTACCGCCGTGACGCAGCTATAACACGGACTACCGCTGCCCATCTAAACATAGTCTATCGTAGTATGATGGACGTGTAAGAGAAACACGACAACAATCAACTGTCAACAGTCATTTCGGAGTGGCGAGCAGTTTGAATTCTAATTGAGACTGTAAAACCGTCGCTGATTGGCTCTCGAACTTGGACGAGACGATTTTGATTTCAAATACCCCGGCAAGTATTCTAGGTTCTTCGTGTAATGAGGTGTTCGTACGCAGAAAAAACGCGAAATGTGGTCGAATTTCGATAATTAATGTCAGCCCAATGGACTGTTTGGCTGTGAAAGTTTGGTATTTCCTCCCCGCTTTGTAGGAATTTGAAATAAAACGTCTCTTTCTTAGCAATTTGATTAGATTTCATTACAATATCGTTGAAATTGTTATAACACTATATAAAGCACATTTGTTGAAATTATTGATTGGTGAATCTATTAAATTTGTTATTACATTATCAGTTGTAACACTGGCTGCATATTAGCGACGTGAATGTGTGCCCCTTTCTCTGGTTTGGGAGATTACCTTCGACGTGACACAAAGTGGAGACGGTAAATGCAAATATCACCAGGGACAAGCTTATAAAGCAAATGCTAGCTAATTGCACATACAAACCAGTTGAAAAGAAACATAGAAGATGTAAAACTTCCTCAATCAAGGCATGATTGATTACAGAAACAGTGTTGTTTGTATTGTATTTTTTTTTATCAATATTGCCTGTAAATTAAGTGAATAAATTCAATTCAATTCAATTCAATTCAATTCAAAAACTACTGTATATAAAAAAAAACGAAAGAAAAAGACATATACCTTTGGTACACATCTTCCACACAATTCTATAATCCATCGTCTGTTTTTATTGGGATTGGGGGGGGGGGACTCTCCCACAGTCAGCTGGCGAACAAGTGATAATAAAATGGAATTATAATAATTGTGTGACATAATTGAACCGTTCTTCGCACAGAAATTTACTGCAGAGATTGACAATTAGTAAAGAATTAAATAAATATAGTACCCCGGGTAATGTGAAATATGTCTGCTGAAATATACGGGACGACCACGTCAACTTAATGTCTGTTTACCCTGACAATACACACATCAAATTACGAGTGTTATCTCTCTTATCAGAATAAACAACAGTGTCGCTCACATCATTGATAAATACGCGATTATGCTAATTTCCTCGTTTCGTTGCTATGTAGGAGCACAATTAACCTTATAGTACAGTCACGTGATAATCTAATTTCTTAATGTTGCATCTGATACTGATAACTAACGATTCTCGTGTATCTTTATTTGTTTGTTTTACTGCTGATGTCTACTGTCGCGTCTGAATATACTAGTAATGACGTATTCAACATGGTCTTCAAACTCGAGTCATTTTTAATTTCTAACAGAGCCTTCAATTATGGTGACAAATGCAAAACTTTAAACACGGTAAACACCTTTTTTTTATTTCTTGGATTTTATTAAAACTACCAAATCTTTTTTGTTTGGCAATTACTGTAGTCAAATTTATCCAGGACTCGACTTGATGGCTCAGTATGTGAGACCATGTGTTATCTATTCTGCATTTGCACTATCAAAACCAGTACACGCCATGTTCATCATCTGGTATACATCATCCCTAAACATTTATTGCAATCTGTTGTCTCATGTGCGACACTCTCAGCTTTATCTGATACCGGGTAACCCTTAAATTTGCTGAGAATATCCATTGTTAATTTCTTATTCCATTATGAATTCCCGTAGATCGATCTTCGGACCATGCATTATGATGCTATCTCTGTCAGTCCTCATATGGTTATTGATATATATGACTGGGTTTATTGTACATCAGCGTTTCTTTGCACCTGATATCGACTGTGTCTGCCTATAGTAATGGCTTGTCCAGCTTAATCTTTGGCCAATGCCGATTTTTCTGGAGGGGGGCAAATGCGGGGTTCTTTATGTTTGCCCTTACTGTCATGTGGGCACCAACCTTACGTATATTTACTACTAGCTTTCCTCAAATTACCATGCTGCCAATTTGAATCTATTCACTATAATGATTCAGAATGATTGACATGATCGGGTGATATAAATTGCTTCGTAATGGTTAATTGTTACTGTTCCTGGTTAGCCTCACATATATTCAGTATCAAATATTTACCAATAATATTTACTCAAACTTTCTCAAATCTCCCACACAAGTTTCAATCTTAATTTCAGTCAGCCAGAGTGCAACAACTAATACTAGAATCTGTGTATATTTGGTATCTTTGACTTATCTAGAACCTGCAAACCAACAGCACGCCGGTTATTTCCATAATCGCTCAATTTATCGTATATTTCTATTTCCAATATCTACTTCAGATATCTTAGGCTCCTCTATAAGCTAGGAGTTGATATTCATTTGCTAAATGCGTTGTCACAGTTGGGATGATTAGTTATAAATAGAGTAGGGCTTCTAAGTTATGACATCGCACTGTCATATTCAAGGATATCTTAAAGCGCGGT